AAACAACAAGCCCCAAAGTCTAATTCTTATAGATTTACCGGTGTAACCTGCCTGGTACAAGAGAGGAAAGGAAAAAAAGTGATGACTGCCGTTACCTTTGAAGTGCTCGTTAAGCCCGAATGTGTCATTCCTTGATTATTTAGATTCCTTTAGTCTGTAAGGGTCCACCCATCAAAAGAATCGAAACAGCTTTTCATAAAAATTAATCCAAGTTGTGAATCCTGTCATGTGAAGTCCATCGCTCTCTGTCTACTAACTTCTCTCATCCTGCACCGTGTTGTTGTCGTGATGTTACTTAAAAATAAAAGCGCAAAAGTCGTCTGTCAAAGCTAGATCAAATGAATGACGTGTATTTGATCTTATTTGATCATTTTTATACAACTATTATTCTATTTCATAGTAGTTTCAGTTTTGTGCAAAAGGAATTAAAGGCCTGTCCCATATGGACGCCTGTCCCAAATATAGGCACGGTCAATTCAGTGATTTTAGCAAATAAAAGCCTGGGCTATTATTCAAAGTTTTACGGTAGTCATCGTGATGTCACCCGTTGGTGTGTGGACTGCCGTTTTGAAGCCTCGAGCTTGGACAATAGGGCGCCGCCATGTTGAGTTTTTGCAACCAGCGGTACCGGATGTGACTAGCTAGCTTGCTTAGATAGGTGCATCTGCTTTATGGTCTATTCTCCTCTAAATGGGACCATAATTCACTAAATGAACATCATGTTGTCTTGAAGTAGACTTGAAACAAGCTATTGAGACCATAAACTCATTATGAAAGAGTTTACTGAGGTAATAAATCAGCTGAGAATTTTGCCTTTATTTCTAATGGGACCGGAGTTCTTTTTGCAACCAGAAGAGTCGCCCCCTGCTGGTCGCATCAGATCGCTGATCGGAAGTTTCTCGCTTGGTAAAATATCAAAAACCTTGAGTACACTTCTTTTTATTATATCACATATCACAACTGATACTCCTCCAGAAGTCAAACTACTGTCTATTTTATTTGATTTTCTAAAAACATAATGCACCTTAATACATTAATAATCCTCACATTAAGCCTCACCCAGGCAGTTAATGTCTTTGTTAGGCATTAAAGGATTTTGAACATTAATATAGCAGCAAACAACTACTCTATGTAGAGATGTAAGAAAGTAATGGCCTCTTGAGCAGAGAATGACGTCACACCCCCTCTGTGTGTGTTGTCATCCGAGCTTCTCTGCTCTTTGTTTTGGTAGCCCGTCCGGCCGCCGCGTGCAAGTGAGTCCCTCGCTGTGAGGCTCTTGTTGGCTTTGAGGAGAGCGATATAACAGCTGTTTTTCAGTGGAGTCTGGTGGCGAACAAGAGCGCTATAACGGCTGATTGTAGTTAAATAAAATCGATCTTACTGTTTAACAAAAAAGGTTTATCTCTAGGGATACTCCCATAATGTTGTCATCTTGCACTTATAGTGGACATAAGCTAATTTGATGGGCTCATTTGTCCCCAAGGATTACGTTGCATTCATTGCAGCCTGTTTTGTGGCTGAGGTGTAGAGCCAGAATATTTTGGTGAATTAAGGATTTATTTCAGAGTTGGTGATTGTTGGAACAATGGAAAGAAAAACAGAGAAGGTTTGCTGAGTTCTATATTGTTTTTATCCAGTTTGAATGAAGTATGTTTTACGATGATCTGCTTTTTTCTCAATAGAGTCTGGTGGGCCGTAGTGTAGGTTTGTTTGGGTGTGAGATGCTGGTGCTCTAGCGTGACATTTAGAGGAGGTGAATGTTGCTTAAAGCTCCTTTTAATAACTATGTAGAATTCAAAGCAAATACATGTATGTCAGCTGTGTGCAAACATTTAAGAAAACAGATTATTACTACAGTAGAGCAGTATAACATAAGGACATCAAGGGGCGTACAGCAAATTATTAAGACAGGAGGATATTCAAGCAAAAATTCAACAACATTGTACTCGCACAGAAAAAGCTGACTTGTCTCTTTTGAATGTCTTTGGCTCAAAACTCCGTAAACAGCGTAAACGTAAAATTAGATTGTAGTTGGGGTATGTTTGCTCCTTTTTTCTCCACAGTGCACAAAGCTTCTGCTAGCTGGTGGGGGCAGCAGCATCATAGGCTACACTTCTTAGGATCTGTCAACGCTCAAGATGTTTGGTTTGACGTGTTAAGACGTCTGGTGAGACCGATAGCTTGATAGACGACAAGGGATGAGATTAAATGATTAATGTGAATGACCTTTGTCTGTTTGGTAAACGTAGCTGCGGTTTGCGTTATCCTGTCTTTCTGTAGTTCACCAAGACAATATTGTCACGTTATTTTAAAAGCTGAACAGTGGTCATCACAATCATTAACGGTGAAGGGAGGACAGTTGTGTTACTTGGACCGGCAGACATTTTGTTCAGAGGTGGAAGTCCCTGCTGGGATTATATCGAGCCACAGAGGTTGTACAGTTCTCTGGCACTTCTTCACTATAGGAGGGTTGATTCCTACTTATTTATTTACAGCCACAAACCCTCTGAGTAGTTTATTTATCATAATACAACACAAGGTTGTATAATGACATGAAAGTATCTTATTGTCAATTTTATATATTTATATATATTTATGACTACTTGTCCTGCAGTTCTTTCTTCATCTTTATCTTTCTTACATTTTTCAGCCTTACTGTGTTTGTTTATTATTAAGCACCAAAACACCAAAGCAAATGTCTTGTATGTGTAAACCTACTTATGCAGTAAAGCTGATTCTGAAAGCCATTGACAACTGTATTTGTTTGTTGATAAGGTTTAACCTTACCTGAGTAGGAGGAGGAGGAGGAGACTAGTATGTACTAAAGGATCATATTTATGTTGCAGTTTGACCCAGTTTACTACAAACACTTCACATTATTGCTTAATATTTTCATAAGCATGTAATACTTCTTGAAACTTGTTACATCATATCACACTGTCCCATGTTTGCTGTTGTTTTCCTTCTGGGTTTAATTTTGAAATGAAACTTATTTTGAGCTAAACTACCTACAAACAACAACATACACTTCTTTCAGCTGTATGTATGAATCTCTATGTCACAGTGTTGTTCGCCTCCAGGAATAGAAACCAGCAGTTGCAAAAACACAGACTGGCTGCTAGTCATGAATACAGAGCTTGTTTTTCTCCTCAGGGGCAGGAAGTTGCTTGGAGGTGCTCGGTGCAGGCAAGCCTCTGCTGGTGGTAGTCAATGACAAGCTGATGGACAACCACCAGCTGGAGCTGGCCAGACAGCTACACATGGACTCCCACTTGTTGTACTGCACGTGCAGGTATGTGTTTCTCACAAGCCTGTTGCATTTTTATTAATGTGAGGTTATTTAACAAAACAAAAGTAACAAGCTGTCAACCCCCTTGATAAATCTTTCAGCACCCTGACAGAAACTCTGAGGACTATGGATCTCTGTGTTCTCCAGCCCTTCTTGCCTGGACAGCCGAAGCTTTTTGCAAACTTTCTAGACAAAGCTCTCGGTCTTTCTTGAAGCGATAATTTTACTGGACTGCTTAGTTTAAACTAAGTTTGATGATGTAGTAGATCATGATACTTGGTTCTTAGATTGTAATTGTATAGTACACAACTGACACTGTTGAGTGTTTTCTATTTTTGTATGCGAGAATAATATATATGTTATGTCAAATCCTTGTGTGTGCTTTGAATTATTTGCACAATAATTCTAATTTATTTTTTTAAGGTGTCATACTAGCGAAAGATTTCTTTTTTTTTTTTTGTCAAATAATACACTGCAGTTCAGAGAGTTCAAGGCATATCTGCACCTTCAGATGGAACAAAGGCTGCAATGGTTCAGTTCAGCAAAGACAAAGAACCGGGTAGATGTCAAACCACAGATGGAAGTCAGGACCTAAAGCTCTTACCTTAGATAATCCTGAGAGCCATGTCCATCTTGATCACAGTGCAAAGTAGGTGATTGTGCTCTTGACACATCCTTCCTGTATCTCACTTGTAATTCTTTAATTGTTATACAGCCAATGCATTTAGGGTGAGCTGACCTCAACAGTCAATTTATGTATTTACTTGCTGATTTGTAAATCTAAAGAGACCGTGTGGAAAAGTCATGCTCAATGCGAACAACTGATTTTGGACGAAACAAGTTATGGCATCCATTTTATGGAGATGTACCACTTGTAGTCTTTGTGGCATGAAGGGAAAGTGACAGCCTTTGCTAATAACAGCTCCTAAATAGTTTATCTTGTCAGGACATTTTGATGATTATGAATTAATCCCTCAATTAGTAGACTGTTCACACAGGATTAAATATTTTAAAATATATGTATTGGTTCGTTTGAATGTATAATTGATTTACAATCTACTGTTTTGTTTGTGTGTGAATGCATGTGGTATCGATGTCTGTTTGGGTTCTTGTGTTGCTCTAATTCTTTTGTTTCTTTCTATGTTTATGCATTCCCAGAACTATAGACTGTTATTTTACTGAAGGCCAAGGGACTTAGCCCAACACTTGCTGGATGAAACCAAAATAAAATGTAAATAAAGGACTGTATATTTCACTGAAGGTGTATGTTATGAAATGAAATCTGAATAATCTAACCTTTCTGCTAATTTCGACATATTTTAAAGGCAGATACATTTGGTGTGAACGGAGCTGATTTACAAAGAAACTAAAGAAATCTGCTGCATCACAGAGAGGCAAGTTGTACCAATTCTTCCCACAGGGGTGAGATACTGTTTAAAACCATGACCTTGCAGGTTGAATATCATTGCTTTTCAACTCAGCGCCATTTTTAAGAGAAAATATTTGCTGTGGTTCCAGTAAATGATGTTAATATTTTAAGCAGAATCCCTCTTTATATGCCGTGACTACCTTTTCCTACCTCGATCTGTCCCTGCATCTCTGCAGAAAAGAAGCACCATCTGTTTCAGTGATCACTGTATGAGGGGCTGTAAATCATCTAATCTGCAGGGAAGAGGTACAAATTGTGTTAAATTAAATGAAAATCTGTCAGATGTTTTTTTGATTTTGAAGACACAGATCATTTTTCAGTTTTGTTCAGCTGGTGCAGAGGGACCGCTTTTAAGTTGCTTGTATAAAATCCATTCAAAACTTGTGCATACTTTACAATATAGGAGTGTTGATGTTGCACTGCTGATTTACAGTTTCTTCACTTTAAGAGGCTTCGTTTAACAGGAAGTGATGGGTGAAAGTCAGCACGTAGGTTAGTTTGGCTGTTGTTGCATTTCCTGCTGTGACACTAAAATCTGTTCAGAGGCCATGTTTGTCCACTTTCTGCTACAGAGACTGGAGAGGCAGAAAATTTCGGCAGCAACTTTAGTTTATTCACCAACCAGATGCGTTGACCTAATAAAAAACCTGTTAATGTGACTGGTAGAACAAGTCACCGGTGTTTGTTTATGATCCTGCGGGTATTCATTTCCCGAAGTCCTTGAGGTATAGTGTCAAATCTTATGTCACTATTTTACAAGAGGAATAAACCAGAAGCTGGCAGATTTCCATCTCGGGAAAGTCCCTTTGTTTCTAGGTGCATTTCTCTGGAAAAGGACGATTCGCTGTGATAAGAAAACTGGTTGAGACAGACTTTTGTCAGGTCTACTCTTCAATCAAATGTGTTGTGTCAAATGTAAAATAGCAACTTCTGAGAAGTGCAATACATGTAGCATTTAAGTTAAATGCTTTATTTTCTGGTTCTGCTCCAGGCAGCTGTTCTACCACATCAGCTTAATTAAGGAAATAGTAACGTTTAAGAAACAACAAAAAAAGCAGAGTAAGGGGTCAAACCATGTGCCACACACCGCATGGATTTTAATAATACTTAGAAATACCTCACTGAAATTCCATTATGCTGTGTTGCTGCTACTGAAATGGTAGCATTGGAATTTGTATCACAACACTTTTGTAATTTATTTAATTTCAGTTTCCTAGTCAAGTATTAAGCATAGTCCTAGACTTTGGATTTTTGCTGCTATTTTGATAATTAATCGTTTATTTTTCAAGCTAATATGACTGTCTTGTTCCGGCTTTTGGTTTCACATAGATGTGAAGATTTCCTTTTTTTTCTTTGTCTTATGTGACAGTAAGATAGAGTATCTTTTGGTTTTGACCTGCCCCCTTGCTGAAAGGCGTAATTTGAAGACTTCACCTTGACTTTCAGGAATTTTATGATCGCCTTTTTTTAGCATTGTAGATTATACGATTAATCAATAAGGAAAAGCCCTAGAATATCGTCTAGAACAAGGCTTAGTCCCTGACTGAGCCACTCACCAAGCGGCTGTATTGGACCAGTTGGGAGTGAGAACGTGTTGTTGCTGCAGATATTCTAGACAAAGTCACCACCTTTTCATGTTTTCCCCTGAATCCATTAAACTGTAGTTAACTGATTTGAACTGGTTCTGCCTGCCACTCCAGTATGATTTACATGATGTTTGTAGAAACAGCATGTTAATCTAATAGAGATTGATAACACATTTACTGTCACTTGTTTTCCCCACTCATACTTGCACTATTTGATATATTATGATTGTTTGATTATTGATTATTATATCATGTCAAGGCAGCCTTTCCTTAATGTAGTTAAAATGTATCTGCCTTCATGCAGTCTTGTACCTCCTTACTTTAGACAAACATTAGATTTGTCTCCCTTATAAGTGGATATCGAACTGCATATTAATTTACATTACAAATAAATTTATCAGTGTCAGACTGGCCAAAAATTAGATCTAAATTTGAACTGATGGTATAAAATGGAAAAAAAGTAAATATCAGTGGACTTGTTGTAGAACCTACTGACTATAATTAGCAGAAATAAATAATCTCTTGTGTTTTGTGAACTTATTTTTCCAGATCTGTTTTCATTTCCACTTTCACAAAACTAAATCTTCCACTGAAGAGAGTAAAACACTTCCTCAAATAGTCTCTCAATAAAGCAAAGAAGTTATATTGCACATATAATGTATGTCACGCTCACAGCGTGAGCTTTTATCTGATTATCTTTAAGCAATGGGGTTAGTAGGACAGAACACAAACACAGAAAGGACTCCTAATGCATCTAATTGATATGAAAGTCGTGATTCCTGCACTCGGAGAGGACAAACAACCTGATTTGAATCAATTCAATTCCAAGATTTCAGATATAGAACAAACGTCCCATTCACTCAGACAAGAGTGGACTGAATAAGTCCCATACAAGAATAATTGGGTCAAAGCAGAGGGTCAATCAAACAGGCCCGAATGTAGCAGCCACTTGTGGACTTATGATGGAAAGAGGTACTGTGTCAGAGACAATTTAGAGGACTTTGACTGTGTCAATGCTTGTTGTGGTTGTGTGTAGTTTAGATCAGGATACAAGCAAGAGTGATACATGGTGTCTACCATTGGGATGTTTAAATGACTTGATATATGATGGCAAGATGATTGATATTTTAACTATCTTAAGTCTTGGATGCATAAGACATTTTATTATACACATCTATGAGATCTATTTTTTTCTCTCTCCAATGAATCACCTCTTTAGGCTTTGAAAAGTCAGATATCAATACATCCACACTTCAGTTGCGCTACTGCTTTGGCTTCAATAGGATGTGTGATGTTTTCTAACAGGGTTTTTAATGGGACACAATATGGCCAAAAGTATGTTGACACCTAAAAACATCATTATCTCACTCCAAAATTAAGCTGCTTCAACATCCTCCATTCTTCTTGGAAGGTTTTCCACAAGTTTTATTTGTATGTAGACCTTAAATAAAGTTGTTGTTTTTTTTGTCACAAACCTGGTTCTGACTTAACAAATAGGATTACACAATTATCTGGATTACTTTACAATGCAATACCTGGAAATTGACTTTTTTGTAATACAGGCTGCAGGTTTTAGGGTTTTCTGGGTTTGACTCAACCAACACTTTCCTAACTCAAGTGTGTACCCCGTAGCTAAAACAGCGCATCTAGCATAAAGCAGGGCGTACACATGAACAAAACGCTGCTTCGTCCCGCCCCAGGAATGGGAAAGAAGTTGGTTGTCCGACCCTGTCTGCCTTGGCCTGTTCTTGCCTCGCAGCGCTGTTGTTTGCAGATGTTCATTAGCATTTGGATATAACCTTCCGCCAGCCGGCTCCGCCCCCTGTGCTTTCATTGGACACACTGTTACTGGAGCTGTCAGCTCGGCTCTGGGAAGGTTTTCTCTCAGTCCAGTGTTCAGCTACAGACCGACGGGCTGACTGCTGCCAGCGACAGGCTGCTTGCCTTTGTTAGCTGCCTTGGAAAGCACCAAGAAAAGACAGAGCCGCATCCATGCAGTAGCATACCTTTTTTGGAAAATGATCATCTGTACGAATAAAATGGAGTACCCCCTAAGAACCCAGTGCCAACGAGCCCACAAACAGGTAGGTTAAAGCGGACAATAGACGAATAGTTGAAAATAGTTAGGCTAAGTTAGTTGTAACACATTTAAAGCTAGCGGCTAACTTGGCAGCGAGTTCATTCATTTGTCGAAGGAATTATTTCATATAGAAAAAGCCAGTCTCTTAACCAACTCATGCTCTGGCTTTTTTTAGCTTTAAATGACCTGTTTTGGCAGCTAACAGTCAACCTGTAAGATTAAATGTCACACTTAACAGTTCTTTCAATATGTAAACTTTTTAACAGCAGGCAGTAACGTTATAACCACTTAGCTAGCGAGCGAAAATAGCCGTACCAAACTTATGACCCAGCTAGCTAGCTATCTCTGCTAACTAACGGTTTAGCGAGCTAACATGCAATCTTAACAGTTAAATCACAACAGAAAATGTCGATAAAATACGATTTCGTGATTTAATTCAGGGCCAAGAACTGTCCCATCTCTTGACTATCAAGAAACATTTGGTAGTTTCTATCTCCAGTCGTTTAAGTGTCACACAAAGCACGCAACATTTCGTCGTTTAAAAAAAGAAGCTAACGTTAGTGAATTTAATGTTATATTAAATATGAACAGTTTCAACCAAAATTGGCCTTCTGCTGTCAATTCTGTGTGTATGCTAAACAATGTAACGCCTTGCCTTTGTTGGTTCACCAGGGATGTTTTATGTACTTTCTTTATATATATATATTTTTTGGTTATATTTAGCTTTCACACATATTTAGTGAGATACTAACATTAACCAACGTTTAACGGTTGTGAGCGTTGCATTAAGAAGAAAGCTGTAAGTGACGATGACATCATCTGAGGATTTGGGAGAAAAGTGTCTGTCAGTGGCTGTGAAGTATTGCAGTGCCATTTATTGATCATAAATATGATATAAAGGAATAAATAGTAAATGCCTTTAATCCAGCGGGAGCTGCTCCGTTTTTGGTTGCTTGTCGTTCCTCTAAATGTTTGAGACTTTTATTGTGCTGTTTTTCGGTGGCTGAAGTGGACTGCCAATCAAAGTTGTTTTTCTCCTCCGTCGCTGTTTTTCCGTTTTGTAACAGAAAGGGGGCGCTGTCTCAAGTGCGGTCCAAAAAAGACATGTTTGCTGCAGTTTAGCGTCCAGAAATGGAACAAAACAGGGAGGAATGTGAGCAGCTAGGGATTCAAAAAAAACTCTACTCTGGTTTCATCTCCTATTTGAGTTGCTTATCACGAGTTTGCTGTTTATCTTTAGTGTCATTCAGCTGGCAGTTTTCTTTACATGCCATTTGACTACATTGTCTGTAACTGTGGACAAACAATCAGTGTTTGTATTGAGACCAGTGCTGCTGCAAAGAAAAATAACCCTGTGAGTTTGCAACTGCATAAAGCACTTACACCCCAAATCTGTTCGTATAAACATTTGGCATGCATTTAAGCACCACCAAATTTAAACACCTGACTTTGATATGAGAATCCACACGACCCTGGCTTGTTGGTGGATGGGACAAGTAATGAGTAACCCTGTTATTGAGTCTTTTGTAAATGCGTCTACTATTGCTTTACCTGCCTGCCATGTTTTCTGACAGCTCCAGTCACTCATCTGCTGTATGTTGGCTCTGCTATGTCTTCTTTCTTTTTTTTTCATCCTGCAGCAGTGTTTTGTTTGTCTTAGTTGTGTTGTATGTGCTGTTCTACCCAGCAGCTCCTTCTCCCTCCCCTCTCCAAACATCTTTGGGCTGCAGCTGGAATGTTTTGCGCTACTCCCTGAGTTCAGGTTGCAGAGCCAAAAATCGTCCCCGGCTGCTTGTATTTCCGGTGATGTCGAGGGGGGTAATCAAAGCCATTGGGACTTAGGCACATGATCAGGACAGACCCCCTCCAGGCTCAGTCGGAATGCAGATTGAATGTCCTTCTCCTGTATCTGTCAAGCCCCCCTACTGCAGCCCACCACATGCATGCATACAGACACACTACGTACTACATGCGCCCATGCACGTCTCAAGCTGACACATTTACCCTTGGAAGACTGCTGGCACTATTTCTTCACTTCTGTGTTCTTAGCCCTCCTTCATATTCCTGCCTGTACAGCGCTGCTGTTTTGTTTGTCAGCCTGCTATCAAAGCCTGTCTTTGTCTCCATTTACCTTTCCTCCCCTCAGTGACGTCACCCCTGTTTTTCATTTCATCCCTGCCTCTTGCTCCTTGCTGATCAATAAACAAATCACCTCTCCTGTGTTGTGAAGGGAAGTTTTGAGTATTTTCTTTTGAATGTAAAATGATCTGCACCTTTTTGAATTTTTTTGCCCACAACAGGCCTTCTTTCTATGTGTTGTTTATTTCTCTGTCATTTGCAGCCAGGCCACACGTTTGAATTCATCTTGTGATTTGAATACAGCAGCACTCTAATATCAATATTGGTGTCTCGCTTTTGTCACCCTCAAGCTTGTTTTTGACTAGGAAGAAAAGCAGCTATCTGAAACCAAAAAAATGTTTTGTGGACTAAATGATGATTTGTTCCTTTTGCTTTATATATCCACCCACACGCGATTGTCTTTTTTTTTTTTTTTTTTTTTTTGTGCGGGTGCTTTTTTATGTGGGTGAACAATAAGGAGCGTATCGCCTTAAAGGCTGGTTTTCAGTCAATACCATGAAGCGGAGTTGATGGGTGTCTGGACACAGCTTTGACAAAAGATGCCTGTCTAAACCTTCTCCCCCCTATTAATCACAAGTATCACTTATGTGGGATGTGACACATAAATTGCTGTACTTGCTCAGTCTGGGAACCAGGACAAAAGACATCCCTCTTGTAATTTAAGATGGAATTTTCTGAAATGTACATTAAACATCATAATAAACATACTGTATATTGTCTTGAACTGTAGATTTAGCCGAGTTTTACTTTTGTGTTACGGCGTCAGCAGTCTCCGTTAAAACTGTAGGATGTGTCATTTCCTGCTGTGCAGCTGCTCACGTCAACTGTAGTTCCTGTTTCAATTTGACTTTTTCTGTTTGTCCAGACATGTTTATGAGATTACAAAAAAGGCCAATGTCCTCTTTCTGTGACACTTATGATGCCAAATCTCCTCAGAGTAAGTGTTGCCACTGATTTTACTGTTCTTGTCATGGCTGTAGATTTGACAGTGTCTAAAGACTAAATAAATGACAGAAGTAGTCTTTAGCTAGTAGCTTTTTATAATAAACTATTTCAGTCTCAAATGTTTTCCATTTGTTGTTGAAATTTTGGAAAGAGTCTGAAATCTTAAAGCCAATTAAGTTTATCATTCATTCATTCATTACATTTTGAATTGCATACAAAAAAAGCGTGTTAATACTGCCAGCCAGCCAGCCAGCCAGATACATGGGCCGGCCATAGACTGTATAAAACAGGGGCCAGCTGATATATTATTGCCACATACGGTATGTTGGCTGATCAGTAACACGAAGTTGCTTTATTACCATGCCAAACAATCTTGCCTTAAATATAGTAATTTTTCCTTGAACAAATTTTTTAACTGTAAAATTCTTCAATAACCATATTTAAGGATCTATATCAAAAGTGCTTATGTCAAAAAAGTGAATGCCCACTCAGTATATCTTATCAGATTTTATTTTTTTTTTTTTTTACTTTCAAATATTGATGCCTGTTTCATCAAGTGTTTGAAAACTGCTCTTTGGTTTGTAATACAAACAGTTTCATGTGGATCATTCATAATCTAATGGCAGTGTAATCGGTTAATGTTGCAATCCTAGCTCATTCTTCAGTGACAGACCGGAAAAAACGATGCTGTGTGGTCTCCCTACATGATAAGTCCTTGACAAGTCACACTCAAAAGAATGTTTTCTTTATGGCGTAGGTTTCTGAAATGCTTATTCCTTTCACTGACCAAGTGCAGTAACCTAGATTCTGCAGCTCAGCATATTAATCAGTAGCCTGTTGTGTTTGCAGAGAGATACTTGTTTTAATGTGCTCCTGTTTTTGATTGTCAGGTACTGCAGCAACGAGACAAAAACTGTTATATTAGCAAAATATTAACATCAGATTGAGAATGATTTGTTTAATGCGTAGTATGTTAACATCCTTTAAGACCTGAGCGTGGACTCTATATAGGTCAAGAGGTGGCGCTTCTTGCAGGATCAGAAGGAAACCCTGATCCACTACAGGGAGAAGTGAAATACCACATGGAGCTACCAGCCAGAGAAACATGGTGCTGAATGCCAAAGAGCTGTACAGGGCTAAAATTAAGTGACAAGGCCACTACTCGCCCTTCGATCTGACTATCTGAGACACACATTGAGGTGTCTGTGATTTGACAGGACAGTAATAATCTTAGACAGCAGTTTGTCCTGTTAAAAGCAGAAGTCTTTGCCAACAGGCGTACAGTTCAAACTGCACTGAACCATTTGGCTCTGATCAGCGTTGTGCGCTCAGGTTTCACAGAAAGCTTTACCAAGTCCTCACCCGAAGCTGAGCTCCCAAACACCCTTTCCTAGAGGCCATTGTATGGTGGCGAGCGAGGTAATAAATGGCCGTGCCAATGAGGGCAGGCCAGCTTCCTTCTCCACATGGGTCTGTTTCTCTTGGCCTCGGGCTCCTCAGCCCAGTCCCTCCAATGTTTGTGTGTTAGGTCTCATCCACTTCTTTGCTGCTGCGGATCTTCCCTCTTCAAGGCCTCCTGAGTCGATCTTTCGCATTAGTTCCTTCATTTGAGGTTGCTATAAATCCCCTTTTCAGTGTTTCATTTTTTTTTAGTATCTGCCTTGTATCAGGCTGTTTAATTGTTTTTGTTCACTGCATCCACTTTAAATTCACAAAAGTGGATACCTGTTAATCCACAGTGCTTCATCTATATTTATAATAATGTAGTGGAATTGTATGAAGCATCTGGCTCTGCTTCAGCCAACACAAGCTGGTGTCTATGTGCCCGTCGAGCTCCCAGCTGAGCGACGACGTTTTATTTGTGGAAAGAATAATGCAGGGAATGCATTCACTTGCCAGTGGCGCCGGTATCACAGCATCACGGCTGCTGTTCTTTCAAGTCTGCCATTCTTCAGTTGATTTAATGTGTGGAACATGACTCCAGTCCAAAGCACAGCCTGAGCCTATCATCACATGATGTGGACACTGAAGTCCAACCTTATCGTCAGCCAGCCTCTTCTGGCTACGAAATGAGTCCTAATAATTCCCCCAAAGGATCGTCAGCCCTGAATCATTAATCAATGGGCATTTTGACAAGGTCAGTGGCTGCTAGTGCTGCAACTAACTATTTTCTTTATCAATTCATCTGCGTATTACTTTCTCGAACAGTCCTACAGACATTGGTGTGACGTCTTCAAGCTGCTTGTTCTGTCCAACCAACATTCTAAAGATATTTAATTTACAGTAATATCATACAGAGAAAAACGGCAAAAGATCACATTCGAGCTGCTAGATCTGGCATATGTTGGTGATTTTTGCTTGAAAAATTACTGCAACTGTTAATAGATTATTTACATTTATGCCAGTTAAATTTCTGTTGCTTGACAAATCGTTAGTCTTTTCAGCTCAGCGCTTTTAGCTCTAGTGGCTGCTGCCTCACCGTCATACACATGAACACACTGAAAAAATATCTGCAGCTTGCTCTGCAATAACACCTCACTGTTTTTGCTTCTTGTGTCAGAAACCAACCTTCTCCCTCCTCTCTGTCCTGGTTTCTGTAGGCGATGGTGAACGGTGAGAACGAGCGCGTGTCGCTGCTGTTCATGAAGGCTCTGGTCAGCAGGGAGAGTGTGGACCCCATGTCCCAGCAGATGGCCTCGCACCCTCAGTACTTGGAGAGCTTCCTGCGCACACAGCACTACATCCTGCACATGGACGGCCCCCTGCCGCTGCCATACCGCCATTACATAGCAATCATGGTCAGTGACCAAGCTGTCTGTGTTTGTACATACCCAGGATCTTACTAGTGTTCGTCCTACTGTTCATGTAGCTAAACAACACATTGGGACGGTGTCCTGTACTCTGCAGGGATCATCTTAATGTTGTTCAAAATGAAAGAATAACAAGCTCTAATGTTTGAATCTGTCATTTCCCCAAATCTGTCTGCTCAACTTCTCTTTCTGTGACTTCCAGGCTGCAGCACGACATCATTGCAACTACCTGGTGTACTTGCACTCAGCCCAGTTTCTGAGGGTGGGCGGGGACCCTCTGTGGTTGCAGGGTTTGGAGGCGGCACCCCCTCGCCTTCGTCTCCTTGACCATATCAACAAGGTGCTGGCCCACCAACCCTGGATTACTGCCTGCTCACATATCCAGGTACAGCAAAGGAAAACAAACCACACGTAACAATGTACACAAACTACAAGAAAGTATTAAATGATGATGTATTTTCACTTGCAGAAATATTGAATTACTTATATCTTTAGAGCTCTCAGGATGCAGATAAACAAGCATAAAGAGAGCCTTAAAATAATGTATAGTTCATTTGACCCGTCTGACCCAGAGCTCGTGTCTCTTGTCTCCAGAAGCTGCTGAAGTCGGGCGAGCAGTGCTGGTCTCTGGCTGAGCTGGTGCAGGCGGTGGTGATCCTGGCCCACTGCCACTCCCTCTGCAGCTTTGTGTTTGGATGCGACACAGACTCAGACTTAGTCCCTCTTTCCAAATCTCCTAACGGTACCCCGCCGACCTTCTGCCCCTTTGATGCTGCCAACGGAAACACCAAAGTGCCTCAGACACTCGCCACTCCCTCAGAACACATAACAAGACGACGGGTAACAAATCACATTTGTAATTTGTTCAAATTAAAGTCAACAGAATTGCAGAGCAAAATACAGTCCTCTTGTCTTGCCTTTGAGACATTTGTAATGCTAAGAAACTGTCGAAGTAGAAATCATCATGTGATACTATTTCTTTTTCTTCATTTAAGATAAACTTTTATAATTACAGAGCTGCAACCAACAATTCAGTTCATTATAGCTTAATTTGTCTAACAATTTTTTACATTTAATCTTTTAGTCTATAAAAAGAGAATTGTGAGAAATAATCCAAAGTGCAGTCTTCACATTGCACGTTTTGTCTGACCAACAGTCAAAAACTCAAACATACTTGACATACGAGATACAACAGCAAACTCTTAAATTTGAGAAGCTGGAACCAGAAAGTTTTTAAAAATGTCAAATGTCAGTTAATCGACTAATCTCTATAATACTTTGTAGGATTTCTTGTAAACATTTGAGATGGATTTAAGCATTTAGGATAATTTTAGCCTGGATAGATGACACCTGTTAGACAGCGGGTTTTTGTCCACCAGCCAATGGCTAGTGAATGCTCAAAGTGTACCAGCCACTCAATAGATTACCATTGTTTTCTGGCTGGTGAGAGAAGTAAATCTAACATCCATTTGCATATTTTACCAGCAGGTGGCTGGTGCTAATTTTGCACCCTATGTGTAGATACATTATACCCAATCTCTATCACGAAAGATATAAACCATAGTGTTAAATAAATGGTTCAGTTAGCATCACTGAGCTATTTGTGTAAACATGAGGTAAAAGTGGAAGATGCATTCAGTTTCTGATGATCCGATCAGATTATTTCTCGTCACAGTAGCAGTAGGCTGTGTCTGTTCCTGTAAGATACTTCATCAATATTTCTCCCGTTGTTTCCGTCAACAGTCTCTGGACTCCAGTTGTGACATGGTGTGTCTAAAGGAGAGGATTCAGAAGTCCCAGGAGGAGCGTGAGAAGAGAGAGGAGCGTCTGCTGCTGCAGACCCAAACGCTCCAGCAGACAGGTAACCTACTTGGCAGATGATGTGCAGAAACACACAAATGCTGCTCAGATGTTTCCACTCACGATAGTTATCTGGGTGCATTTGGGTCACATGCTGTGAAACTTGTGCAATCACCACTCATCAGTCACACTTATTGACGCACTGTCTCTCCATCTCATTTGCTTTCATCGTGCCCTTTTTTAGATTTGGAAGAAGAGGAGGAGACGATTTGCTTTGCAGACCCGACGCGTTTTATCACAGACCCTGACTTTTGCTATCAGGAGTTTGCTCGTAGGGAGGAGGACCACTTTCAAGTATTTAGAGTTCAGGTGAGGATGTTACGTTTGTGAATTTCAGTAGGCAGATGGTGCTGTCAGTACACTTGTATTATTTAACCCTTTATCACACAATGTTTGAATGGCCCACTTCCGAACTACATCACAGTCAGAAGCAGATTGAATGCACTTTCAGGTCTTCAGCAGTCAAATTAAGATCTAAATTTGGTGTCTGCAGTCAGGCAGAGCAGATTAATCAATAGTGTTTTTGACATTTTAACATATTAGTTTGGCTCACAAACCCAAATGAGTTCCTCAAGAGAAAATGACAAATTATGGTGAGAACAGGGTTATATTTAAAACTCTTAGGTGTTTGTTTTAAGGAAAAAACATGTCATGCTCTCTTCTGGTGGTCAGTAGTTTATAGTCATTAAAGTGATTTTACTTCTATAATCCAAATAAAACACAGAAGATGAATAAAGTTCTTTGGTTGAACTGGTCACAAATGGTAGACACATGGGGAGGGTTGGGAGCCAGTGCTGTTCTTTTAATATTTGAGGAGTTAATTTTTGAGACTAATATGAACTGCACATCAGAGCCTCGCACCTCTGACTTGGAAGATGTGTGTTCCCCGCAGGACTACTCATGGGAGGACCATGGCTTCTCCTTAGTCAACAGATTGTATTCGGACATCGGGCACCTCTTGGACGACCGATTCAGGAGTGTGACCACCCTCCCCTCGTTGCACAGCCCCGACCTGAGAAGGGCGATATGGAACTACATCCACTGTGTGTTAGGAATACGGTGAGATGTCACTCCATTTTAAGCATGTACATGAACCATAAAAACATCCCTTTTTACTCGAGCACTATGTTTCTTTGTTTTTAGTAGATCAATACATGTTTGCTTGTGGTTACAGGTATGACGATTATGATTACGGAGAAGTGAACCAGCTGCTGGAGCGGGATTTGAAGTTGTACATCAAGGCCGTGGCCTGTTTTCCTGATGCCACCAAAACTCCAGTGTGTCCTCTGAGTTGGGCTCCACTTAAAACTTCTGAACGGGTAAGAAAGAAGCCCGTCACTCTTACCTTTCCATTGTTTAACCATCAACCCTCTTTTAGTACATCATTTTTATTTTGTCTCCTTTAGATACACGTGAATTTACTAATCATGGAGGCCCGGCTGCAGGCTGAGCTGTTATACGCTCTGAGAGCCATCACTCAGTACATGATTGCCTAAGTGCTCGGAGAGACACAAAGCTAAAACTTTCCGCCGGTACAGAGAGACCCAGAGACACGAGGATAAAGAAATCTCAACAGCAGGCCGCAAAGTGGGACGAGAGCGGCACTTTTAAGGACACAGAGCTCTGTCGTTGTGTAGCTGTGCCTCATGAATGTGCTATTCTTTTTCCCAGAGTTAATGTATTTATACCATTGTGTGCCACATCCACTCCTCGCCCCTTCTGCAGATTCTCTTGTCGTCATCTTATCAAACATCTCGGCTCTCAAAGGTTATGTGCAATTTACAAGAGTTGTTTTAATTTTTACCTGTTTGTTTTGTGTTCTAGCTCTTGTCTGTGAGAAACTGCTTAGTTGTAGCAGTGTGTTTCAGTGGCCAATCCTTTTTATTTTGATCAGTCTCCTTTTTGGATTAACTATGCCCCCCCCCACCCCCACCCCCACCCCCTCTCACACACACTCACACACTCACACACACACACACACACACATCTTTTTGTACAAGTTGAATGATTGTGTTAATGGGAGACCAGGGCCTTTTGTTTTTTTGGACAATCTTTGTCAGTGTTGGAGGAGGACATTAAGTGGACCGTGAAGGACGACAGTTTAGCTCTCCCTAACATTTCATGTTAATGCTGGTCAAGAACAAAAACAACAGTGACACTGCTGGAAATTATCACATCACTATAGTTTCTTTTAATAAGCACTTTTTTAAACTTTATATATTTATAATGCAAGGTAGCTCATTAGTAGACATTGAGACGCACTGTGTGTGGGTCTGACGCCTTTCTTCTCCACTGTACGACGTGTAACGAAGATTTTTAGACTGTTTGTCCTCAGACTTTGCTTTTGTTCTCAAACAGCTTTCTGAATGGTGTAACTCCCAAGATGTTTCAGTGAATCCTTGGAAGGATTTTGAAGGCAAGGATGTTTGCAAAACATGCTATTTACACCAGATAAGAACATTAATAACTAAACTAGAGGTCAGTGAGCTGTTTCCTACAGTGAATATTTTGTTGGTTTGTACTGACGTGTTTCAGAAACCAGATTCTGAATTTCAGACCAGAGGTCATTAAAAATCTGCACTGGTCATGAGTTTAGATTGAGTTCAGATTTATGCTCAAACCTTTCTGTTAAAGCCTTTTTTTGTGACCTGTATCAAAGCTGATTATCGAGTCAAAATCCATGGTACAATTTGCAAAGGAGAACAATGTGCAAACTAGTTGTTAAAACGCTGTCTTTTTATTTTTACAGTTTCTGTAAAGTCTAGAGTACTTTTTGTTTAGTTTCTGGGTGTAGGACCTGCTTGTTGTGCTGCAGCCTGGGTAGATGTAGAGGTGTGACAGACTGTTTAGAGTTGAGTTAGGCATTAGTAACCGCAGGATGTAGAAAAGAAACAAGTGCATATCGCAAAAGCGCTGTTAACACGGGTGCCTTCAGGCGGAAAACTGGAGTGCTGCTGAAGTGGAGGGATATGACGACGGGAGGCTGAATGTGGGCTTTGGATGCAGCTGGGAAACAAGTATGTGGGAACTGTTTTTTCTTGGTGTTGGTCAGCATCAGACACCTTCTGCAAACCCCAGCAACTCAGCAAGAGCCTTTGACACAGATGGATGTTAAAAAATGTTCAACTTGAGCAGATAAAAAAATGGACCGTTATTTAAAAGAAAAACAACCTTAAAAAAAAGAGAACAAGTGGGGGGAAAAAAACAAAAAAAGTTTTTTGAAAATGTGAAGAAATGTTTTCTATAAAGATGCTCTATGAAAATAATGTCTGTTTACTGTTTTTCTTTCATCTACAGGATGTCTTAAAGAGCCATACCAATGTTTTTGTTCATTTCCTTACTATATATTATAATCAGAAAGTCAGGATAACACATTTTAGACTTATTTTGAACCGTCCAGCCATTTTCAAATATTTGACTACATGAAAACCCACTTGTGGAATTGACTGGATTTGCTGATCTATCACAGGGTGTTATATTTTTAAAAAGTTTAATTATATGGCCTAAAATTGCAACTTTGCCTCCAAGGCTAGTTTTACATTTTCGTAGAGATCCCTCCGTAATGTGAATTTCAATGTAAGGTATGGGGGACAAAAAACAGTCCTTGTTCTTTGCAAGCTGTCCAAGGAAACAAAGTTTTGCATTAAAAAGACTAAACTTTGGAAGATACTGTCTTAATATCACTAAATCTGCTGAAGTGTGATATTTAATTTCGCTACTTGGGTATACGCGGAACGAGGACTGGATTTGTCAGGGAAGGATCTCTTCACAGCCACACTCATGAGGAATAATTACTTGCAAATGCAGTCCTGATGGAGCATGCAGTGGAAAGGAAACTTTTATAGTTTAATTTGACAAAAAAAATCTGAAAAGTCCTTTTACTGGCATTTTCTAGAGCTTTCAACCACATCTCAGTCCTTTGACAGTTTGAATCTGAATATTTTCTGTCTGCTGAGGAAGACGCAGTTGAAAGCAAATGGAAATCACTCCACTTTTATTGTATTTCTTTATTGTTATATTGTACAGTACATTTATATCTGCTGCCATATGTAGTTTGGTTATTTGTGGTTCCAAGTAGCTGTATAAAAGGACAACAGTGGCCCCTGGTGGCAGACCTACAGTAGTGAACACAGTCTGTTCAAAGAAACTCTGTCTGTCTCAAGTCAGTAACTTTGCACCAACGAGTGAGACAAAGTGGGTTAAACAGTTTATTGAATTTATTTCTGCTGTTCAGAACTGTTTGTCATTTCTGGCTGACTTTACAATGTGTAAAGAAAAAAAACTGAAAGGGGGGCGAAGGAAGAAAAACTATCAACATCAAAAATCATAAACATAATTGTATGCACAACTTATAACCTTTCCACCCCACCCTCCCCTATGGAAATAAAAAAACCCACCCTTTCTGAATACTAAAAATGCTGTATCAAATGGGGCAATTTTAAATTTCAAAACAAAACATACAGGGACTAACTGCTAGTTAAAGAAAACTGAAGAACAAAATATGAAGATAGTTATGATTACATAGAAAGGGGAGATACAACAGAAGTAATAACACCACACCTGCCCCCTTTTTTTTTTTAGGAGGCAACAGTAAACTAGACATCAAAACTTGGTGCAGCATATTCTGACAAACCAAACACCCCTCCTTTTACATGCTGCAGTCCGTCCTATCAACTGTTTCCAACACCTGGACATTAGTTCAGAAAAACGTGGGGGATTTGTTGCATATACAACTTTCTAAAATAACTAATGTTATGATTTAAAATAATAAGAAAATCATGCAGTTTGAACGAGCTGGTCTTCTGTTTCCAGAGCTATTTTTAAATGACCAGTATGGGGAGGTCATCTATAGATATATATGAAAACAAAGAGGGGGAAGGACTGTTCATTGATAAACACCAAATCAAGATCCTTGTGCTGTATACAGAAAATTCAAAAGGCCCTGATATGCACCCACTGCAACATGGCGTACTCCAGGATACCTCACAAATGACAACTAGCACCATTTAAAAAGAGAAAGAAAAAAGAGTGCTTTATACAATTCGGAGGCTAACACAGCTACAGTGAAATGATGAATACTAAGAGTTTAAACTGCAGGGATGTTATTCCTGATCACAAATACGTTGACGGTTATGAATAAAGTCATTAAAAACAAACACAAAACACAAATTATTAGGGGGAGGGTGGGGGGGATGACAAAAAAGTCCATCTTGCTACAGAGCAATGTCATGCTATATAGTGTTTTAAATATTGGCAGTCAAAAAAAACAAACAAACCCAAGGGAGATGCTAGTGCTGATATACATGGCTGGAGAGTTGGAGACATTTCTCTAAGAAGGGAAGTTAAATTTGGGATGAATTCGACAAAAAAGTCTCCAGGAAAACAAATCAGAAGATGCGGCGTGTTGCGTTTCCACTCTGGAGTAACTGAGAAATCTGTAAAATAAATATTGTTTTTTTTTTTGCTATTGTCACGTGATCTGACGACGTCCGTGCAGAATCGTTTTCCTGTTGTTTTTAGTTTTTACTCCCGAGCAGCCCTGAGAGGTAACGGTTGTATTAGTCTCCTTATGAGATGACAATTCGGCAGCATGTTAGAAAAGTGGGACGAAAAAAGGTTATCATGCCACATCTCAGCGCACATTTGTTTTTGTTTGCTTTTTTACTTGGATTCACAATTAATGCAGACAGTAATGAGGCAGATCAATGGGAATTTTAGTTAAAATGGTCAAGCATTGATGCACTTTGCCTCACGCGTCAGATTTCATGTTAACAGGCATCTTTTGCAAAAGCTTATGTACACCGAGATACTGTGTCAGGCCCAAGCGCTCCCTAAATGCCATGCGATTGCAAATATTAGTGTTCCTTTGGTTATGTAAAAAAATCTACATGCAGCTCATCTGTTACAAAAATAAAAGTATAGAAAATTACCATTAAAAATGATCTGAAAATGCTTCTTCCAATGTAAAAAAACAAAAACAAAAAAAAAACACTTGTCATTAGTAATATATTCATATGTATTAATATCACATTTATTACCTCTAAATTGTATATTAAAACTATAATCAAATATATTCTTTTTTGTACTTCTCACACAGTGAAATAATTGCTTAAACTGAATTAATTAAAGTGTGAGGATATTCATGAAGCACCCACCCAACCCAACAAAATATCAGGAAAACGTCAAACAGCAAAACCCTTCAAGAAGTGATTTTTCTAATTTCCTTCAAGATTTCATTTAGTTTTTCCTGATATATCTGCATAGCGTCTCGTCATCTACATGTGCAACGTGTACATTAAATGTGTTTTTTTTTTTTTACAGGATTTAAACTCTCTTTTAATGAAATGGTATAACCTAATGTGGATGTATTCTCATAGTTTGGGGTCCCTGTGTTGCAGGAAACCTAAGTGCTTTGAAAATGCACAGGCTCGATGGGGAAAAAAAGAATCAGGTAGAGCATTAGACAGTGGGGGAGACCTGCTGTCTGAGACAATATAATACTTGGCCAACCAATCACCTGTTGGCAAATAAATTTACTCTTGAATGCCCCGTGTATAAATTCACAAATCACATTTCTTCATTTTGTTAGTTTAACTGCACATCAGGGATTTAAAAAAAACAAAAAGAAAACACCCTCTGACATCTACTGTAACACCAAAAATGCCAAACTGCAAGTACATAACCCTCTTAACTGTTGAATCACCAAATTTCAATAGAGAACAAAAAATGCACCATCGTGCACCAAGTGAGAAATCTGAATCGTACATGTGATCGCAGTCCAGGTACACAATTGGGCGAGATGTGTAGCCAATGTTGAATCTAACATTTTTTACCTCCAGTCATCCAGTCTTTATCTTCCACCTGTTCACAACACAGGCATGATCCTTCCACCGACTCCTGCGATAAAACTCTTTTCCAGGTGCAGCAGAGTTGGCGCACATTATTCAGGCTTTCAAACAGCATTTGGTCTGGCTATTCGTGCTAGGCAAGTGTCAATGGGAAAACTGGCCATTTCTCCCCAAAAAAACAACGCACTGAGTCCCACTGAGTCTTCAATCCCAAAGCCATCAAGTACCGGTCCACCCTAAAGCTATTCTGGTGTAACAACAAAATACATACTCCTCGCACACGGGGAGTTAATGATTTGTCTTTCCACTCAAAACATTATGTCACACGTCTTTAAAAATCATCAGTTCGGATTAAAAGAACAACAACAACAACAACAAAAAATGCTAGCAGCCAAATCGTTGCAAGTGTCGTGAGAAAGAAATTGTGCATAGTAGCCTGGATCTCCTCCCTGTCCTCCACATGTCTTGGCACATGACATGGGTGAGGTCTGGTTTTGCCTTTAAAGTCCAAGAGAAGCGTTGTGTTTGAAAAAAATCTTCAGCCAGCAGGGAGGAGGAATGCACCGGTCGTTTTGTCAATTTATGAGGTGATCTTGATTGGAGATCGGTTCCTGCAAGACATGATGATAAAAAAGGTCATTCATAATGTTGCTGATTGGCTCATAAATCCAGATTATCTAAATTATGTACTTGAAATCATTCATCAACTCAACTCTGTTTATTAACATCTGTAAATGAAGGCCATGTGTAGTGCTGTGCCTGGTTTGTAGAACTGACTATTAAGTCAATCAGCAGAAAATTAATCAGCAATAATTTTGACAATCGCGTTAAGGCTATAACTAATGATTTTTTTCAGTATCAATCGCTTGACTAATCGATTAATTGTTTGGTCTAAAAAATGTCAGAAAATAGTGAAAAATGCTTGTTTCGTCTGAGCAAAACCTAAATATATTCAATTTACAAATATATACAGCAGAGACAAGAAGCAAATCCTAACATTTGAATTGTAATCTGTCAGTCAACTAATCCATTAGTAGACTTTCAGCCCTCAATCACTTCAGTTGTTAACAAGCCAAAATACCACACATTTTCTCGTCCCAGCTTCTCAAATGTGAGGATTTGCTGGAATACAATACATTTGAAGGTGTCACCTTGGGATCTGAAAAGCTTGTGATGTGCATTTATTATCATTTTTTTTTAATTTTATAGAATAAAATAGAAAAAACTTCAACACAGATTACTCAATAATGATGTTAGTTGCACCCTAACAGCTTGAGTGTCTTTGTGTGATGAAAGAACCTGGGAGCGATCGGCGTACCTGGCTGACTTTGTGTGGTCAGATGACAAATTAGCTGGGCACCCAGCTGTGAGCGGAGCCCTGTGTGGTGGCTGGGCCAGCGTAGCCTTGGCCTCCAGGCAGTATGGGGTCAAAGTTGTCAAAGTCAAGTCCATCTCCGTCCATGAGGTCACTGTTGATGATGTAGTCCACGTCACAATCCAGGTTTTCGGTGAACATGTCTATGTCCAAGTCTGTGGGCAGTCGGTCCTGACCAGTCTGGAAGTAGGACGGAGCTCCGAACTGACTCACGCCCTGCAGACTCAGGCCAGGATTGGCTGAGGCGATGGGCCCTCCGTGGTGAGAGCCCACAGCTGGCACTGTGGCATGCTGGGCTTTGAGAGCAGAGAGCTGAGATGGGTCCTGAGACATACCTGAGAGGATCATCCCCAACCCCATCTGAGAGTGATGCTGGTGTTGCTGTTGTGGCTGTTGCTGGTGCAGCTGCTGCTGCTGCTGCTGGTGGTGGAGGTGATGCTGCTGCTGCTGCTGCTGCTGCTGCTGCTGCATCTGAGCCTGCAGCGCCATGGGGGCGACCGTGTTCGACTCCAGCCCTTTACCCAACAGCAGCTGATTGGGTTTGGACCTCACGCCCACCACGGACGTGCCCAGGCCCATCAGGCCCACCCCACCAGGATTGGGCATGAGGGGATCCACCTGGGTCATCATGACATCACT